TATTTTGTTTCAGCTGACGCAAGCATAGTAACGGTATAGCATCAGGAGCAGGTCACTGGGACAGTATTTATTGTCTTAATGGATAATTTTTTTTTTGTCTAAAGCGGATGGGCACTAACAAATTTATGGATAGATTAGTTTGAGGTAGTACATAAGCAAAGACATTTCATTTATTGGAAGCTTTCTGGCCCCATTAATAGATGTATTTGTAAAATTTGTTATATAAGAGGTTGCAATCACGATCAGGGTATATCTACCGGAAGAACTGACGTTGATAAAAACATAGCCGCAGGCTAATCAATTCCTCTGGTGGATTCTACGACTTGCGTAACCTCCAAAGTGCAACCTGACATACGAGGGAAGGAAAGCTATTCGCAGCCTGAAGACAGACAATAACATACTAGTCCTGCCTGCGGATAAAGGAAACGCAACGGTAATCATGAACGTGACTGACTATGAATCAAAAATTTCCGAACTGCCAGACTCCTTCACCTACAAAAAGCTGAAGCGCAATCCCACTGCTTGTAAATTGCCAAAAACCAACTCGTCTGGGCACTATCGTTGGACCCGGAAAACATAAGGAAACTCATCTAATCTGAGGGCTTACCACCTAGAATATATGGGCTTCCTAAGATTCACAAAACAGGCAACCCACTCAGGCCCATTATAAGTGCAATAGATTCGCCCACATACAGCATAGCCAAATACCTGACCACCCTCCTTCAGCGAAGGATTGTCCAATCCAGCTCAAGTCATTTCATCAAAAAGATCAGTGACATCACTCTACTACCAAATGACATTCTGGTTAGTTTTGATGTCGTTTCATTGTTTACTAATGTACCAGTGAATCAGGCCTTAGAGTATCTGAAAGATGTTTTTCCGGAACAACTTATTTCACCACTGTCTGCCGACTACGTACTTTCAATGGCAAAATGAATTCTCTGAGCAGACAGATGGAGTGGCAATGAAGAGTCAGCCTGGTTATCGCCAACTTCTACATGGAACACTTCGAACAAATGGCACTGCGAACGGCCACAAAGAAACCTACTTGTTGGTTTCGCTATGTAGATGACACATTTGTTGTTTGAATACCATGGAGGGGAAGAGCTCGAAAACTTCCTTAATCATTTAAACTCAATAGAACCCAGGATACGGTTTACGATGGAAGTTGAGAAGGACAACAAAATTGCATTCCTCGACGTCCTCTTAGAAAGATTACACTTAGGTAAACTGGGACACAGAGTATATAGGATGCCGACGCTTACAGACAGATACATCAACAAGGAATCCAATCACCATCCTAGGCAAAAGAGAGGAGTCAATAAAACTCTATCTGACAGGGCAATCCGAATTTATGAACCAAGATACCTTCAGGACGAGATGCAACACCTAAAATCAGCACTTGAAGGAAATGGGTACTCCAAGAAGGAGATAAATAGAGTCATAAGACCGAAGCAACAGCGCACAAATAACAAGGAACGAGCACAGGTGGCAGGGCTCCTTTCTTGCCTATATCAAAAATGTTACAGATCGCATAGGACGAACGCTAGAAAGACACAACGTTAAGCCCATAAGAACAATTCAGCAAAGTCTAAGATCGGCCAAGGATCCTAGGGCACCTCTTGAAACGGCTGGCGTCTATAGAATTCCCTGCTCTTGTAGATCTGTCTATGTAGGAACAACCAAACGCTCTATCAACACCAGGGTCAAAGAGCACAAAATAAACTCAGAAGGGACAAATAGATAAATCAGCAATCGCCGAACATGTGCTTACACAAACAAACCATGTCATTCGTTTCGACCAGGCTCAAGCATTGGATAGAACCAAACATTTTCACACCAGATTCTACAGAGAAGCATAGAGATACAGAAACACCACAACAACTTCAACAGAAAATAAGAAGGCATGAACCTCTACAAAAGCCAGTTCTCCGAAAAACAAAGACCCTTCCTTTCCGAGAACGAGACAAGAAAAATAGTGTAATACAAGCCACGCCCACAACCCTGGATATAAATAACGCCGAATCCAGTCATCGGAGGAACACGGAAGAGAACACTTCGTCCTCTACCACACCGCCTTTGAAGATGTCTAACGCAGCAGTAGACGAAACGTTAGGTAGAAATACTAATGGACCACGGCATTATAACCCGGAAAAAACCTTTTTACTAGAAAGTAGAATACAGTTGGTCACACAAAAAAAAACAAAGAAGCCGTTCTAGCACATTGCTAGCAAGTCCACCAAGAACCACTATGGTTCTAGAACGAGCAATACCCCACAATTATCGATTTTCCTGCAAAACCCCAGAAAAAAAAACCGAATTCAACACACGGACACCACTTAACGAAACTAGGTTTGGCAAGGCTATGTAGGTCATCAGAAGTTCAACTCTAATAGCCAATGCCCGAGAACTCGGAAGAAGAGCCGACACCTACCGTTCTACGCGACGACTTCATCTCGTTTTTTTTTTTCAGTTTTTTCTTCAACCTTATCGTGTAAAATATTGTATAAGATTTTTTTTTTTGTAAAGCTGGGGCTCAGCTTTCTAAGCCTGGGGAATATGTCGTATCTAGGATAATAGGGCATCTCCCTTTGGTTAATTAAACCCAATCGTCTTCCAAAAAAGGTTCATGGGTTTCAGGAAAATCATTGACCTCGTCACGTTTAAGTAACATTCGGTTGCAAGTTGAACGAATTATTAAATTATATGACGAACCTGAACCCATGCAAGGTCGATGTCAACGACGGTTCACCAATCACCGGTAATTGTTATAATCAGCGATCACACACCAGGGTCGCGGGATTAATATAAAATAAATAATGGTTTTTGGAAGATGAGAGGGTAGTCCACAGACCGAGAATTAAACGCGTTAGTTAGTCAGTAATAATAGTCCTGTGATAATTGTTAGTGCTCATACCCATATCTGAAATGGATTTGCTTTATTTTGAAAACATACTTTCCTATTTTTGCACTTGGCTCTAGTTCTGATTCTCACCCCCTCATTAACCCCAGGGACGATATATGTCGGTTAATTCTCGGTCTGTAGACTACCCTCTCATCTTCCATAAACCATTAATTTATATTAATCCCGCGACCGTGCGTGTTCGCTGATTATAACAATTACTGGGGAACCGTCGTTGACAATGACCTTCCATGGGTCCAGGTTCCTCACATAATTTAATAATTCGTTCAACTTGCAACCGAATGTTATTAAACCGTGACGTGATCAATGATTTTCCTGAAACCCATGAACCTGGAAGACGATTGGGTTTATTCAACCGAAGATACGACAATATTTTTCCTTTCATAAGGCATTTCATAGAAGAACCATCGTGAGCTAAGTGAAAACCAGTGAGTTGAGTTGAGTTGATTAAAATCGATTTACCATCTAGGTAGCTAGAAGCTCATTTATGATCCTGGTCAGGTTTTAGAAGAGACAATCAGGAACAGAAAACCAATTAATTGAAGAAAGTAGAAGGAAATAGCTTGTTTTTTTTTTGTGAAAAAAACATTGAAAGTAGTAGAATGGCTAGCTTGCTGTTCTCCCATTCTCTAAAAATTCTGGCGGTGACTTCTGTTCGATGATAGTGGGGATGGATGCAAACGCACACCATACTATGTGGGGTAGCAGTGACGTTAACATTAGAGGTAAGAACCTTTAGATTATATCCTAAAAAAATTTGAAATTCTCAATAAAATGGACCTTCTTTTTGTAACAAGAACTCGTAAAGAGGTTCTAGATATTACTTTGGCTTCTCCCCGCATAGGCTCTCAGATAGCCTCGTGACACGTGTCAGGAGAATCGTCCTGGCATGATCACAGAGATAATATGCAGATATTATCTGCATGGACGTCCAACAACATGAGAGGCCAGCAGAGCAGTTTCGTGATCCGAGAAGGACGAACTGGGTGAGATACGAGAAAAGTCTGCTTATGAACTGCACCCAGGACAAAACCGATAATAAAAACGCCACTGATATAGAGCTGGCAGCCACTCAACTACAGGAGGCTATAATAACGTCTTATATGAAGGAAAAATTATTACAAATATTTGAAATCGGTGACAAATTCTATTGCGCACTGCGCAAAACACAATACGAAGACAGAACAATCAGGATCTCAACTACCATACAGAAAGTCATGGTACCAGCATTTGATAGCACTAAAACACCAAGTGCAAAGGCTTCCGGAAAAGTTATCAAAAAGACGTCTAGTTCATCCCACCGCATGATACAAATAGCTCAAGCTCGTGCATATGATATGCAAGAGCTTTTCCGATATGATCTATCTGATAACTGCTAATTGTTGAATTGACAGGGGTTAATGACAAAACTACAAAAAAGGGCATTGGTAAAAGTGTTAGAAACATCGTATGTGAGCACTGGCACCGACAACTTATTCAAATCTGATGACAGGACGTGTTATATAGTGGATGTAGTGAATTATTTACGAAAAGTTATGACAAATGAGAAGAAAACTTTTGGCGGGACGGTTTCTGCTTTTTCCTCATACATAAGGGCCATCACAAAGAATTGTGGAAGAGTCGATTATCGTCGGCGACACCGCAAAACCACGTAACTAACTAACAAAAATTCAAAAATGTAATTTTGGCGGCAATCGGTTTATTGTATTTGTGGGGACGCGTGTTCAAAACCTCGCAACTGGCAAAAAATTCCAAATATTTTTAAATCGGAACATTCAAAACCTCTTATCTGTTTGACGAAAAAAACGCAACTGCAAGAACAAGTATCTAACAGTTGCCGATGGTGATTCATCCCTGTAATGTTGTTGTGTGCAGTTTTTAATTGGTAAGTTCATTATTTTTATTAAATTAATGTTTAAAACAGTATATTTTTAATTTCAACTGGTGTTTTAACACAAAAAATATAAATTTGTTTTATTTTTAAAGCTGAAATTCTCAAAAAACGCATCTGAAAAATAACGTGCAGTTACGTGTTTTTGCGTTTTACATTTCTGAATAATTGTTTTGTATTTTGCAGATACTGTTTTTTGCCATGGCATCAAATCGACCACTTTCAAACTTGCAGTTGCAGGAAATCCTAGAAAGTGATGAGTTTTTTGAAGACCTTCTGGTATTTGATGATTCAAATGAGGAAAATATTATACCCGATTTAATAAAAAATCCTGATGAAACTAGTATTGATGGAACCATTGCGAGTAGGGCCAATATTTCACCAACCCTTGTTACTACTGCTACCGACGCAATCCTAATTCATAATAACGACATCGAAGAACCTGAAGAAAGTTGCAATCGCCCAGATGACGAAAAAAATTCACCGGAGCTGATAGAAAATAACCATATTGCTTTAAATGAGTGTATCACTGCGAGTGAAAAAACTATCCAAATTTCCGAACGAAATGATATTCATGAGTCCTACCAAAGTGAATTATTTGATGACATGGTATACGAGAACTACCAGGATGGTATTATTATAGTAACTGAACTTGATACAAACAACGACAATAATGAAATTGAGGTAGAAACAGTGGAAAATCAAAATTCAGCCAACACTGTTCAACAAGAAGCTGACAACACTAACAGCGAAGTAGAAACTATGGATGATGAAAATTTAGCAAACAATGAATTAGAAGCTGAGCCTATGGAAATTGAGGCAGAAACACAAAGATACAAAGAAGAAAAGGATACAAGAAAAAGAAATAAGAAGTTAAGAGAAAAAGGCTGTAAATATAAAACTTTGAGAAAAAATAAAATTACCGGAAAATACTCCTATGAAAATGAAAATGAAGAGAGAAAACTGAGACCAACATGTCAATCTGTTTTATGCAAAAAGGCAAAAAATAGGTTTTGCAACACCTTCACCCCCCTTGATAGAAAAAATATTTTTTCAAATTTTTGGGAAATGTCATGGGACATGCGGAAAGTGTATGTTTCATCATTAGTCAAGACAACAACTACTCGACGTCCCAAAGAAGATAATTCCAGTCGCTTACTGACATTTGAGTATTATCTAAAAAAGGATACTGGAAATCTCAGAATTTGCAAAAAGATGTTTTTAAACACTTTAGATTTGAAGGAGTGGATGGTGAGAAATTGGTTAAACCAAGCAGCTAATAATAAGATAAAGGACAGCAATGATATAGCTATGCCCAGTAGATCAAGATTACCTGTAGAACTGAAAAAAGCATTAGAAGTGTTACAAACCTTTTTGGATAAACTTCCTAAATTAGAATCACACTATTGCAGACCATCAACCCAAAGACTGTACTTGGAACCATTGTTTCAGACAAAGACTGATGTATACCGTCTATACAAAGATTATTGTGATGATAATAATGCCAAAGCTCTAAGTTTAATTCATTTAAAAAAAAAAATGAATATCAAAAATATATTTGTTCACAAACCTAAGAAAGACCAATGCGATGTATGCATTGGCTATAAGACTAAGAACGTATCGCAGGAAAATTATGAGACCCACATTAAAAGAAAAGATGAAGCCAGAAAGGAGAAAGAAGCAGACAAAAAAATGGCAATGGAAATGGAAAATAAAGAGATTGCAGTCATAACTATGGACCTCCAGTCTGTGAAGCTGGCCCCTGTACTGCAAGCTTCTGCTATTTATTACAAAACCAAATTATGCGTTCATAATTTTACGACTTTTAACTTAGTAGACAAAGAAGTCTCCTGTTACTTATGGCATGAAGCTGAACGTGGTCTTGAAGCTAACATTTTTGCAACCCTTATCGTGAAACATCTTTCTAGCTTTTTGGAAAAAAATCCGCATACAAAAACCATTATTCTCTTTAGCGATGGTTGCGGTTACCAGAACCGTAATTGCATTTTAAGTAATGCATTATACCATTTTGTCAACGAAACGGGCATAATTGTGATTCAAAAAATTTTAGAAAAGGGACATACCCAGATGGAAGTCGACAGCGTGCACAGTTTGATAGAAAGGAAGCTTAAAAATAAAGATATAAATCTTCCATCTGATTACATTGAAGTGTGCAAAAAAGCTCGATTGAAGCAACCTTTTGAAGTAAATTATTTGGATCATACTTGGTTCCTGGATTACTCAAAACTGGGATATTATAGCAGTATTAGACCTGGCCAAAAAAAGACTGATTTACATGTTAATGATATAAGATGCCTGAAATATGAAAAAAATAATGGAATCTCGTTTAAGAGTAATTTTTCTGACAATTGGACTGTCTTACCTCAAAGACTGAAGAGTATAAATGCACAGATTAGCCAATTATACAAAAGTCGTATTAAAATTAAAGAACAGAAGTATCAACACCTACAAGCCCTCAAAAGTGTCTTACCCTTAGATGTACACGAATTTTATGATTAATTACCTCATTAATTAAGTTTGCATTTACATTTGTTTATGTTTTTTTGAAAAAGTATTTTTATTTTGTATTTTTGATACCTATAAATAAATAATTTATGTTAAAAACATGCATCTAACTGTTGTTTAAAATTGCAGCATCAACAACGCAAAACCTCTTAACTAGCAATTTTCGCGCAGAGGAGGATGTCAAAACCAAGTATCTAACACTTCCAATAAAAATAAGCAAATAATTTTCCAAAAAGTGTACAGACACTGAAATAATAGTTCCCAAGTGGTTTGTAACTATTTTCCATTAAATCAAATTCAATAACCCAAAATTGTAAGGTTTTCAGTGCCTCCTGAAAATTTTGGTTTTTGCAGTTACTTGGGTTTGCGGTGTCGCCGACGTTATGTTTTTGACTGTTATCACAGACTATCACCAGAAAAGCCTGAGAGAGTGCAGAGACAAGGTACCGGCATTGTTAAAGATATTGCTCACATATCTGAAGATGTACCATTACCTGTCATAACGGCAGTTTTTGGGGATCATCAAAGAATAAACTGGACTTGCAGATGTTCATTGCTAATACCTTAATTGCTTCTTTGACTGGAACACCAAGTTATACCAACCACATCTTAGGTGCCTTTTATGGTGATGAAGAAGATGAGGTATCATTCAACTGTACAAGGTGGGCCAATTTGGACACTTCCTTATGGAAACACCCTTTATTTTAAGAGATAGAAAAAAATGAACCCCCCACTCTGAGGCTCAAATTTCATGAAATTTTGATTGGTGCAAACCGCTTTTTGATATCTTCAACCGTTTAGCCGCTAGAGGGCGATTCTCGATTTTGAGCAATATTGTGAACCCTTCATAACTTTTTTGTTTATGAAAATAATTGATTTCCGTAAAAACTTTCTGGAAGCACTTTTTAAAACAGAATTCAGGGACGTTCTCAGTTTTTTTCTATTTGGCGCCGATTTTGAGATATTGACTAAAGTCTGATTTTTTTCAATGGGACACCCTTTATATTAGGCCTGTTCGCACAGCAATCACAAACCAGTCAGAGCGAATCTCATTGGTTGGAAACAGTCAGAAACAGTCAGAAAACTAGTTTCAATCAATGAAATTCGCTCTGACTGGTTGGTGATTTCTGTGCGAACAGGCCTATTAATAGCTCATTGAAGAGCTATGATTTTTCTGATTTTAATGATATAAAGTTCGATAGGTTTATCTCTAACCTTTTTCGAGAAAAAAAATTATTCTGGTTTTTGTCATAAGAAACAATGTATTAGAAAGAGACCTTTTTCATTTTCCTTACAGATATAAAGTCCTTTTCTAACACATTGCTCCTTATGAGAAAAACCGAAATTATTTTTTTTCTCGAAAACGGTTAGAGATACCCCTATCGAACTTTATATCATTAAAATCAGAAAAATCATAGGTTTGCAATGAGCTATTAATATAAAGGGTGTCCCATTGAAAAAAACCAGACTTTGGTCAATATCTCAAAATCGGCGCCAAATAGAAAAAAAACCGAGAACGTCCCTGAATTCTGTTTTAAAAAGTGCTTCCAGAAAGTTTTCACGGAAATGAATTATTTTCATAAACAAAAAAGTTATGAAGGGTTCACAATATTGCTCAAAATCGAGAATCGCCCTCTAGCGGCTAAACGGTTGAAGATATCAAAAAGCGGTTTGCACCAATTAAAATTTCATGAAATTTGAGCCTCAAAGTGGGGGGTTCATTTTTTTCTATCTCTAAAAATAAAGGGTGTTTCCATAAGGAAGTGTCCAAATTGGCCCACCCTGTACATCTGTGCAAAGTGGAATGAAAGCAAACCACCCACAATTAAATTGTTTGTCAGTAGAGGAGGCAGGCTTTAGAATGCTGATTCATTCAAAACATGCATCCTTGTGTAGATTTACCAAAATTGTTCTCGTTAGTGCTGACACTATTGGTGTTAGCTTTGGTTCACTGGGCTACTCTTCATTAACTTGGTGTTCGGGAACTTTGGGTACACACTGGAGTTGGTGATTCTACGCGACTTTTATCTGTTCATGATAGTCATGAAAAAATGCGCCAAAACTTATGCTCCTTGCTTCCAGCCATCCACGCACTATCTGGGTAAGATTATACGAGTAAGTTTGGAACCAAAAAAGCAACCCTTCATAGTGCATCTCCGGCATATCTGCAACACTTTGGCGTATCATCTGATTGGGCTCACATAGAACAAAACTTTGTTTCTGGAGAAACATACTTGGTGCAGTTACAACGGAAAGGGTCGTCTTGTAAACCTTTAGATGAACTTAGATTGTGGATGTATCATCATGCAAAGAATATAGATATTCAAGATATGCCGCCTACAAGCAGAAGTGCCAAGGGCCATTTGTTAAGATCATTTTTCTACACATATCTACAACAACACTGTATTGATGATGTGTTTGTTGCCTTAGTCCCATGTCAATTTTGTTTTGCCGTAACAGACAATGAATTAATGTTTATTTATTTATTTGTCCCGGTTTTGGGGAAAGAGATTGTAAGGGGAATAAAGGGCGATAATTACTCCTCCTACCGTAGTACCGTTGGTGATAAAAAGTAAAAATTTCATACAAATCGATGAGGTATTAACCTAAATGGGAGCTGATTTGTGTTAGCACGGCCGCTATGTTTGATGACGCCATAATTGGAAAATGTAGTGCTCGGCTGGAAGTCTACTCAAGCTCAAAATAGGTACTTAATAATACGCAAACTTTCCTACAGTCAGGTGTTGGATTAAATATTGATTATCACTTTTTTAGTAATGAAAACGCGATTCACTTTGCATCGACGGTATTAAATTCAATAATTGAAATTTGCGCTGCCTTGAACCAGATCAAACAACGCATAAAAATCGGAAATATTGCTTTTATCATTTTATAAGTAATTAATCTTCTATTGTCAAGTATCGTCACAAAAAACCAAATTGAATTGCTTCCCTCTATAAAAAAAGTCAATCAACCCTTTACAGACAGTTTCATTTCCCAAAACTAATTTATTTTGGAAAAAAAAATGGATATTTCGTTTTTATTTCGCAATTCATATCCCTATCGCTAGGATGAGTAAATACATTGCCGTTATTTATGAATGGTTTCCAAAATTGAATTGGCTTTACTCTTCACTATTTTGTAAAGCTTTAAGGGATTATAGTCGGTTGAGTTGAAAACGGGTATTGAATTAAATACAATGCCTCTACCAGTTTTATTTTTATGTAAGTGTAAAAGCTAATAATTTTTGTTTTTTTTTTGCAGTTTTTGTCAGCAGTAATGCTAAAGGACTACGTTACAGCACTGAAATACTGCAAACTAAGTAAGTATTTATAGAAATGTCAGCTTCCAACGTTTGTCCTGAGTAGCCAATAATAACATCGACCAAAACTGGTATTTTTGCTGTTTTAGAAAAAGCCTTTTAATGGCCAATTATTTAGGCATCTAAACACAGTTGTATGTTTTTTTTTAGTTTTGCAGTACGAACCCAACAACGCAACTGCAAAGGAATTTTACCCGTTAATATTGGACAAGCTAAAGCAAAGTAAGTGTACGAAAATTTAATATAGCTTTACGATATTCCTCGTTGGCATTAGTAATAAGCTTTGAAAATGCAATTGTGCAAAATTATTCATTTCGTTCCCGAACGTTTTGAAAGTGGATAGTTTAATAAACGTTTCTAGAGGCTTAAATGCCAGCTTAAATTACCGGCCTGAATACCACACGTCGACTACGTAAATTTCAAACTACAATTCAATTGGCTTTTGTGCTTCGAGCCTTTGGTTTACGTATTCCTTTTTCCATTATTTATTCGGCTTTTCAAAACTGAAAGGCTAGATATCCATTACAGGTATTTTCCACTTGAAAAGCTTCGTTACCTACTTGCAAAAATAATGATTTTTTTTTTAAGTAGAATTTTTTTGTTCAGATATTACCTTGCCAAATGGAAATGGCGGCGAAGAAGGTAGTAGCAACGATAGTGAAGATGACGAGAGTGATGCTAATAGTTCTTCAGCGTCAGTTTCAGAAAGTAGTGAGGATAGTAGCGAAGGACGAGAGGTAAGTAAAATTCAACTTCAGATTGTACCAGTTTAGGAGTTCATCTTAGAAACTACTGTATTACAAAGCGATGAAGGACAAGAATTATCAAATTTAACTTTCTAAATTCGGTGCATAATTCAGGATAATAATACACAATTTATTGTCATAGTGCAACTAATGAATATTTTGGCTTGAACTATTTTTCTAGAGGAGCATTTGATGATGCCTAGATCAGAAAACTGGTTTTCCTTTTTTGTTCTAACTTCAATAATTACACTTGCCAGAAAAAATATTTTTCTTAGTACGTTTCCCCAAGACAAAGTTTCAAGGAGAAATTTTAAATTGCGATATAGGCATAGAAGTTGGTACGGTTGTGACAAAGTGGTTTGGTGGGACTTTGTGGAATCCGTTGGAGACCTGCAATTGTAATTTTCTCAATTAAGGGCGTACAGAAAATTCTCAAAATTGGGATTTTTCCTAATCTAGGCATGAGTTGAAGATAGTTTCAAAATAGAAGATTTTGAATTCAGCAATTTTTTTTCTTTAATCTGAGAGTTTCTGAGAAAAGGTATAGATAGGTCCTTTATAAACAGGTCATCCTGTACCTATGTTTCACAATTAAGTAAAAAATAACCACTATCGAAAATACTTCTGCAAAACTGGGAATCTGATAAGCGATTTTAGAAAGAAATTTAAAGAAAGCAAAAGTGAATTTCTCAAAAATTATTTTCTTGTTCAAACGTTTTAGATAAATGTAATTTATGTAACAGGGTAAATTTATAGGTAGAAATTTAATTGAACGGAACAACTTGACGTTCCAAGAATAGATTAATCCTGATCCCATTAACTTAAACTGATAAATACTACAAGCATTAAAAACTGTAAAAGGAAGCTAAATTCCGCTAGGCAGCGACGTCACGCTTGCCTTAACTCGAATTTAGGCATAGTGAATTTATATTTAGACATTAATTTTTCTATTTAGGAAGGCGAGGAAGAGGAAGAAGAAATTGAACAAGGGGCAAATGACAAAGTGTCGAAAGGATCATCGGAAGGTGATGGCACTACAGGCAGTTATTCCAGCTTAGAAGATGACGAGGCTGAAAATGATCAACTAACGGCCCTAGTAGCCAAATATCAGATCGACAATGTCAACTTTGGCAATGGAAACAAAATTTGTGAGTGCATATTCTGGAGTAGAACTTAGTTTATCTATTATCTGCATTTCAAATTTGCCAACTTTCAAGATAACGTCGGCGCGATTCCTTAATTTGAAAAGATATCGCCTTCTCGAATAAATCCACTAAATCTTATCTCCAACGTCCATGTTACGGCTAATTTCGTCGGGGATTTCATTTATTCTGGGCATGTGCCCATTTCAATGTAATGGCAAATTGTGTAAGGGACGTATGACGGTTTATAGTAATTTAATTTATGAAATTAAATTTCATAGCTTGCAGCTGAGACCGCTTGAAGTTCGTAGGCAAAGCTTTGTCATACCAGTCGCTGGAATAAACTTTGCAAGTATTGGAGAAAATTATTAACATGCAAGTATTGGAAAAAATTATTAACAAATAATGATATTATTTTTTTAAATCGAATTTTATCTGATATTCTGTGAAGTTTTTGCTTAATACATAACTTTGCGACCTGAAAAAAGTTGATGAAAGACGGCAATTGAAATTTGATAATATTGGCACTATTGAAGTTGAAGCGCAGCTTTGGTCCTTGAAACTTATAGAGTTTGCAGAGGAAATTTGAATAGGATTCGATTGGGCTCATCACTTTAATTAACCCTTGGGCAGGCGCGCTATCGGCCTTTTATGCCGCCTTTTCACTAATTCAAGGATTCCGCAAATATTGTGGATTTTAGCATATTGTCTGTCTAGCTATGTTCAAATGACTATATCAGCAAACCTACTACGCACAATTTACGACCTTAGAGCGCTTGTTTAGATGTCAGTGAGTTCTTGAACTTGCAGGTGTTGAGTTTTCGGCATTCCGTCCCGCCAGTGCGCCTGGTCATGTAAGTAAAATTACAAGGAGAATAGCACAAATATTACAAATATTATTTTTGTGTTTTTGCGAAATTAGTATAAAGGATTTCATTAAGTTGCCTAGAATTACAATATATTTAATTTTTTTACTCTATTTAGGAATAAATTTTGATGTTTCGAATTATTTCGGGTGTTTTTCTGCTGGCGGCACGCAGTGCCGCAGCGCGCCCGCTAATGTGATTTTCAAATGCGCGCCTGCCCTAGAGTTAATTTTAAGTTTGTCTATTCTGACTTTTGGTAATTTGATCTGAAATTGTAGAGCCACATGATTTAAGCTTATAATTTAATTGTATAGGCCAGGTAAGATTATTTAGTTAACTAATGCTGGATATTTTAGTTTGCTACGTGGGATTAAGTAGAATCTTTTATAGTCAAGGCGAAAAAAGAGGGCACGCGTCTAGTTCGTTTTTCCCAAAAATTGTTACGGGTTGAAATTTTTATCAACGAGCAGCAAATAAATATTTTCCGGTCAAACTAATATTTTTGAGTTAACCCGCCCCACTCTACGATGTGAGAGATAGTCGGATACCCTAACAACAAAGCTCCAATTGCTCGATATTGGTTATTGGAGTACCTCAGTCACCTTTACGTGTAATAAATTACTTTGCCCATTTGGCAAGGTAATATTCTGGCGCCCAACGTGGTTAAATAGAATCTAAATTGGCGCCCCTCCGCGATTTATTTTAAATTTTATTGGCTTTTAGGTTTTTCCCTTTTGTTTTTTGTGGCAGAACTGTGCCGAATATACTCTGGCTACCTCTGGGTATTCCTTAATTCAATTATTTTATTTTTTTGCAATTATTGTTCTTGGTATGTTTCTGGTATTCTTTTCCTTAAACTTAATTGATTTGACTGTTGAGTGTGACTGTGATAAAACTTAAGTTAGTTGGGTTTTTGGTTAGGGCTGCTTTATTGTAAGGTTCGTTTTGGGTAGGTACTGATACTAGGTTCTACCAGTTGGCTGTTTATGTCTTGGTAGTTATTTTTTTTATAGTATTGTTTACATCGGCTGGAATTTTGATTAATATTACATTTTCGTATTTGTTTTTTTTTTCGTGGAACATTATTTAATCGGGATCGGTCTCTGGATATAACAAATCAGTTTTTATTGAGCAACAGTTTGTTACAATGGACGTTAACTTATTGGGTAATGAACAACTTATAAGTACGATTTGACAGTTCGAGGTTTATCAATAACTCAGAGACTAGCAGCAGACCTTTGAATGAAAGTCGGAACGTGAGGATTATGTTCGACCCCCTTCTTCTTCACTTTTTGAATTAGTTAGCGAACTATGCTTGTGTGGTGCGAAATTGTATTCAGGGGAGCGTGATATTTTGAATTTCGATGACGACAACAGGGACTCTGACTTCAGAAAAATTAGCACACTTCTTGAACATATTAAAATCAGAATAATTCGAACACTGCCCGACACTAATGCTGATCAGACTCTGAAGAATAATTTTTGGGAGCGCTTCAATAATCTATCCCCACAGTTAAATTTAAAATACACGGAGACTTCTGAACTGGTCTCTCCTGAACCTGAAGTATTCAAACCTTGGATGACAGACAAGCACCGTTGGAGACATACCAAGAAGTTTCTGGTCCTCCTATTCACGAACCTCGTTCTAGTCGTAGATTGGTTTCGGCTCCTAGGATTTCAAAAGAATCTTGGGACTATTCTAATTTTCTGGACTCTAGATCTCGTGGTCAGTCCTATTCAAACTACCCTTTCGATTTGTCCAGGAATTCCTTGGCAAGCTCAGAACAATAATTTCGCATCCCAATCACACCAAGTCGATCATAATTCTCAATCTCAACTTCGTTTCGTGCATCACTTCCACCGACACGTTCGTCGCACTCTGTTCCTACTCCTCGAACGGATAACCCACATAATTCTCTGATAGACGCTTTCCTTGCGGATTTACCCAGTCACTTAGTGTCCTCGCGGACATCCGTTGCCACATCTACTGGACTTTATGTTGCTCCGATCTCCAACAGACATTCTTGGTTACCTTCCAGTGCGGTACAGTCATCGTTATGCCAGGACAGGAATAACACATTTGTGATCTCCAATCAAAGACATTCTGATGGCATCAGACAAACTAAATATCAAGAAATGCCTGCCGCTGAAGCCAGTAACTCTCGTACGATTTGCTGAGCCCGAAAATGTTGCTTCCTGTGCAAATTCCACTCAGTATGAGACAATTGCACCAACTGATTCAGTTCCAGGTTTTGCCAGAAGAATAGAGGAACTGCAATAGTCCCCGCTCCGTGGCTCCTCCTTTTCTCATTCATATGAGCTACATATTATCCGTCGTTTTTAATCTTACACTTTCCGTATGATCAGCGAAGGGGTGAAGCATATGGCAAAAACAGGTGTGACGTCAGGTGACCATTGGCGTTCTAATGTGGGGAGCCACCAGCTCACATTCCTTTGGAGTATCAGATTAAAATCGACAGACTGTACTATTAGTTTCAAAGACATTAGTAGATGGTCCCTAAAATTTGACGGTCAGGGGAGTTTGTCGAATTTTTTAGAAAGAGTCGAAGAAATGCGTTATCCTAAAGTTTCCAAAGAACAATTACTTCGCTCTGCTACAGAACTTCTTACAAAAGATGCCCTTCTTTGGTATCGAACTGGTGTTTTTAGTAGTTGGGATGACTTGGTCACTCAACTCTGTGATGCCTTTATGCCTTATGACCACAAGTTTTCACTCTGGGATGAGATTCGGCAAACAACTCAGAGATCTCAGGAGAAAGTCATGAGTTTTGTTGTCGCCATAGAAAATTTGTTCTGCAAATTTGCTTCAAATTCCTTCTGAGTCAACTAAACTCGAGTTGGTGCGTCGTAATTTACTAACCTACCTTCAAACTCGTTTGACATCTCAAAATTTTGTATCTGTTCAGGCATTAGCTCGCCTTGCTCGAGCTATAGAAGAGACAGAGTCTCGCATTCAAAGATTTGTTCCTCCTCAAACCAGCTATAGACACTTAATTGAACCAGAATTAATTAGCCTACCATAAGCCCAACTATAACGTTTCTGTTCCAGATATTCTTTCATCCGATGATTTTGTCAAGATTGACGCCGTATCAGATGCGACAAAACAGGCTTCCTGTTGGAACTGTGGCAGGCTAGGTCACCGATTCAACCAATGTGAACAGCCTCGTAACCGTTTCTGCTACCGTTGCGTTAAAAGTCATGTTAGGTCCAGGTCCTGCCCGCATTGTTCAAAAAACGAACAGAAGGTGAGACCTTAGGCCGAGCGTCTTGCCATCAAGTAACAACTAATGAGGCCACCCTTCGATCTCAGATTTTGTTGTACGTTGTTCTTTCTCATGCTAATGACGATGAGCGTCCGTACTTGACTGTCCGTGTTTTCGGTCTATCACTTCTCGGGTTATTTGACAGTGGTGCCTCTAGAACCATCATTGGTGATAGAGGATGGAAAGCTCTATGCAAACTCAATCCGCAACAATCACAGTGCACTGTTGCTAATGGAGATACGTGTGATGTTATCGGTTCGGTCCTAGTTCCCTTCCAGTTGCGAGACCGCCTTATTCTCATTGATGTACTGGTCATTCCGACATTGCCGTATTCTCCCATTTTAGACATAGATTTTTGGTGTCGCATGGGTATAGTGCCAGATCTCCATGCTGGCGAATGGCATTTTCGTAATGGTCATGACCAGGATTCTTCTCCACAAGTGTCGGCTATCCAGAGTCGGAGTAGCCTCGCAACCGATCAGCCAGTGTATTCTGGACGAGCTGATAGAAACCACGTTTTCTAACATAGATCAAGGAATTGGTTGCACTAATTTGGTCTGGAGCTTAATATCAAGACGAACTTTTCCCCGATCAAACAGCGATACTCTTCCCTTTCCCGTGCTCTTCAGACTGCAGTTAACTCAGAACTAGAGAAGATGCTAGCGGATGGTATTGTTGAGCCTTCTAGCTTGCCGTGGTCTTCTCCGATCGTGATGATCAAGAAAAAATGTGGTAGATGTCGCTGTTGTGAAGATTATCGGGGCCTTAATCGTGTAACGGTTCCCGAATTCTATCCCATACCTTATATCTCAGCTACGCTTGACAAATTGCGAGATGCTCATTTTCTCAGCACGT